AAGCTACCCTTAGGAATTGTACATGATTCAAACATAATTGCCTCCCAGCACTCTGAGAAGATGAGGCAGAAGGATTACTAGCTTGAGCAACTTGGTGCTGGGCAACTTGGGCAACTTGGAGACTTAGCAAGACCTTGTCAAAAGAGAGAGAGAGAAAGAGAGAGGGAGAGGGAGAGGACAAGAGAGGAAGGAAGGAAGGAAGGAGGGAAGGAAGGAGGGAGGGAGGATGGAAGTAGGCTTAGTGTGAAGACCTTGGATTCAATCCTTTAAGGAAAGAAAAGAAATAAACATCTACTGGGGAATGTTTACTAAAATTTTTTTATTGCTTGTTTAAATGCTGTCATTATTGAGTGTCCATCAAGTTGTTAAAAGAGGCAGGTGTGTTTGGGTTTGCTTAGGCTTCCAAGTTACTGGAAAAGAAACTATTAATCTAGATGAAAGAGAAGTCACTGAGGTATTCCCAGAAAAGGGCAAACATGATGTAATTTAAGGCTTACCTTAAAGGATCACCAACAAGGATGACCTTGTTGGTGGGGAAAAAAAGGAGTTAAAGAGTGGCAGCAGTGGTGGAGAAGAGACATGGGAAAAGAAGCAAAGATTATGAGCTCTGTCTGCCGAAGTAGCAGAAGTGGAAAAAAGTCATAGGAGATACAGCTTGAAGTGAGAATTGAAAAGTTACACTGCTTCAATCACTTCTAAGGAATAATTGTTTCAAGCCACAGGAATTACAACAGATGACTTAGTTTCAAACTTAGTCTTGACCTGACAATTTTTCTAGTGCTGCATTATACAACTATTTCACTACCTTTAAGGACCTATTAACTACCTATTCACTATCTTTTCACCAACTTTAAGGACCCATTCTTGAACTGTGTGGAATAATTTCTATATTTCATATCTTTTTTTAAAGGTAGAGTGTAGATGCAGGACTTTAGCCACATGTAACTAATAATTTTAATCATCTATCTAAAATAAGACTTCAGTGTAAGCTATTTGTACCATATAGGGTTCCAAAATGCCCATCTATATAAATTTTATAAATCTTTATAAATTATAAGCTAATATATTTTTATGATTACAAGAGGAAATATCTCAATAAAAATCCATCAAAAAGATACCAAGTAGGGTTGAGGATTTAACTCAGTAGTGCTGCCACCTGCCTTGCTAGCACAAGGTCCTGAGTTTGATTTCTGGTGCACACACACAGAGATAACAGGTAAAATCAGACTCTTCATGAAAAATGAAAACGTTGCCTTCCATCTTTCAACTTGAGATTAATGTAATTAGTACTCTCACGTATGGAAGAGGATTTCTTCCATTATCAAAAGAATCAGAGCCACTGCTTTTTTAAATGAGGTATCGTAGTTATTTGCAATCAATGTTATTTACATGAATATTCGATCCTCCAGACCCAGAGATTTCCTAGAAATGATCATTTCAGCACCACTGGAATGCATATCAAATCAATATGTACAGACTTCTAAAGGAAGAGCTGAATAAGTGTTAAATTTAACACTGGAACAGCAATTTGGATTTAATTACTGCTAGTGCTCATTGCCTTGCTTGCATTTTAAATACTTACACTTCAGGATTAAATTTCTACACTTCTCTAAATGTCTGTGATTTAAGAATAATTTTCCTCTAAAGAAAACCAGACTTTAAATACATTTTTTAAAAATTTAGGCCTATTAAGTGCATCTATCTCCAACTCTAACGTTTCTAATATTTCCATTAGGAGTTCTAAGCCAAAAATATGCTGCTTTTAATAATTGAAGTATCTAGAAAATAGTTATACTTTTAATTAGTAATTTTTTTGTATGTAAAGAGAAACAGGGAAAGTAGAGGTCATTATCAGAATTTTTGAGGTATAAGGAAAGATATTATAAAGTTTTTAGTATTGTAGTATTTTATATATGTCAATAAACTGTACTTGGACATTAAATATTTTAAGTTTATATTGACTAAAATGACATTGAAAATATTTTATAAAATCTGTTTTGTTATAATTTATTAAAAGAGAATTAAATAATTACATGTGGTTTAGTATTCTTATTAATTCTGCTTTTAAATATTTTGAAACTTTTATTATTTTTTATAAAAACTGAAATATACATGCATAGAACTTATGCTCAAAATCTCTAAGTATATCACAAATTCCTTGTTAGAAAGTAGAAAGAGATTTTTTTTTTTTTTTGGTTTTTTGAGACAGAGTCTCACTATGTAGTTGAGACTTATCTGGAACTCACTATGTAGTCCAGGTTGGTCTCAAACTCACAGTGATCCTCCTGCCTCAGCCTCCCAAGTGCTGGGATTACAGGAGTGCGTCTCCATGCCCGGCAAAGAGATATTTTTTAAATCTCATAAAAAGTGCAATGTTTTTATCTTTGTTTGAAACTTTTCAAGTACAATACATATTATGTGTTCATCATCTTATTTAGCTTTGTAGTTCATCTTAATAAAACATAAACTCAAAAGTTTAAGTAAAATTCTCCACTGTTAGGTTTCTTCTGTTCTGAAGCCATATCAGTAGCTTACCTGATAAAACTATCACATATGCATTCATATATAATTTTTGGAGTCATCAAATATACACTCAATTTTTACTGTATAATGTTATGTTTACTGTATTTGTTCTCATACCCGAGTATTTTGCTAATCAATTTAGAGTAGACACTTTCAAATTTGCTACTGTAAAAGCAACTTTAAGAAGAAATATGTCTTTAAATATAAAACTATGTAAATATATAATTTAATATATATTATTAATATATATATATAATTGAATATATGATATATAATTTTAACATGTAATTAAAATATATACAGTATACTGCTTTGTAAGTCAACTCAAAACCATGAGTTTTCCTCCAAACAGTTGCTATATAAATGCTACATTATTTGTATAAAAATGTTTATGAAACTAAAAGTAATATTACCAAGTCTGCACTGCACACTAGTGGCAAGACATTGTACATCCATGTGAGTTTCTTTTTAAACTAAAGATCAATTCTATCTTAAATATTAGCTCTCCTATTCACATTTAAAACCTTCATTGTATACACACGCACTCTAAGAACCAACATGATTTTTGTGCTGTGAACTATTCTTCCAATAAATGTTAATTAACTACAAATGTTCACTTCCAAGGATATCATTTTCAGTTAGGTACCTGTGCATATACAAATACTATAAATCTATATAGTCCTGTATATGTGTATGCATATACACACTTATGTATATTGCACACACACACACACACACACACACCTGCTAAATATGAACCTATTTTAAAGTATTTAGTGTGTCATTATTTTTGCTCAATTTTCCTTTCCTTTACTTTGCACATCATATTTTCTTTCATACCTTCCCTGTAACAATCTTTAGTAAACAAAATATACTCACTTACTTTTATTAAATTACTTAATACATCAAAGGACTAAAAGGTATAATAGATAATATGAAACAGGAGGAAAAGGGAGAAAGGGGAAGGATAAATGGGAGGGGTAGGGAAAGGAAAGAAGGGAATGGAATTAATATGAGAAAATGAAAAATAATGGAAACAAAGACTTTGTAGATCAGTCTTTGAAGGGAGAGGAGTGGGAAGAGGAAAACAATAAGAACCAAGAATGATTATATAAAGGTGTGGGCAAATGGCATTATATTGTGTAATTTAAAGGTACTAATAAAATTAATTAAAACACAAACCATGAATTGTATATATTTATGGAGTACCATGTGATTTTCATATATATATATGTATATACGCATTGTGTAGAATTGAAATCATGGTAAAGTTATCAGTCTCCTCAAACATTTATTTCTTTATGACCAAAATATTCAAAATACTTTCTTCTACTTTTCTGAAATATTGTTACTTTATCATTACCGCAATTATCCTACTGTTAAATTAATGCCAGATCCGCTTCTTAGCCCTAATAATGTTAATATCTATTAATTAATTTTCGTGATTTTCCCTGTCACTCTAGTTATCAAACTATATTTTCAACTTCTATGAGATCAACTTTACTTATGAGATTTGCAATACTTGTCTTTCTGTGACTAGTTTAAGTCATTTAACATAATGATCTCAAGTGCCACTAGTATTGTCACAAATGACAGAATTTTCATACTTTTTATTGTAATAATGATATTAGAAAATCATTGAAATTAGAGTCAATAACAAAAGTTTTGTAATAATTCAATAGTAAAGTACAGAGCAAGTGATTTAGAAGTATAACACAAAGCCAAACGTGGTGGCGCATGCCTGTAATCCCAGCACTCGGGAGGCTGAGGCAGGAGGATCACTGTGAGTTCGAGACCAGCCTGGGCTACATAGTGAGTTCCAGGTCAGTCTGAACTACATAGTGAAAAAAAAAAAGTGTAATACAATACGAAAAGTGCCTAAAAATACTAGATGAAAGTTGTCATCAGATTTCTTCATAAAATAATATAAAAAGTTATGTATGCTGGATGATAGGATGTAAAGTTATTTTGAGCAGTTCTTTCATACGTTTTTTGAATGGCTCATTAAATGCAATGTGTAGTTGATCATTAACCATGTAGATTGTTTTACATATATACAATTGCATTTTTTTTAAAAAGTGGACAAACATAAAGCTACAAGTAATGTACCATGTAGAATACGCCATTTTATGCTCTGACTCTAAGTAAACTATTGAAGATTGATTTCCAATATTATCTTTTAGAGAAAATTTTCTTAGAGGAATTATTTTATTTGGTTTTTTGAGACGGTCTCACTATGTAGTTGAGACTGACCTGGAACTCACTACATAGCTCAGGCTGGTCTCGAACTCACAGCGATCCTGCTGCCTCAGCCTCCCAAGTGCTGGGATTACAGGCATGCGCCACCACGCCTGGTGTTAGAGGAATTTTTAATAATTATCTTCTGTTGAGCATTCTGCTTTTGCCCACTAGGTTACCGAGCCAAAGAGAGAAAACCTTAGCTTTTGTTTATTCCTTTACATCATTTGTTACCATACCTCATTCCCATTTGATTCCTTTGATCTTTTCAGTTCTTCATACTTCCGTTTCCACAGAGACAAAGCTGAGTCCATTTGTTTTATTTCTTTTTCCAAAGCTGCACGTATTCTAAATCATTCAAGAATAAAAAGAAAGCAAAGTCGACATGATTTTAAATAATTAGGAATGCATTCAATTTTCTAATTTTTGATATGTCCAATCATTAAGGGAGAAAGTTTTTCAATTTATTAAAATTAAAAATATTGAATTAATGTATTATTCCATTAATTAGCTGTATGTAAACATATTTAATTTGACTGTTTGCTTTCTCTTCTCCATTCATTTCTTTGAATTCCTATCATTTATTGAGTTCCATGTGTAGCAATTATACATAAATATATATAATGATACATAAATCCATACATATTGACATATAAATTTAACGTAGTTTTTTATTCATTTTCATATTGTGACTGCGTATGAATGGGAAGTTCTCTGAGATAACAAAGAACACCCATATAAGGATATATTTTAGATATCTGAAATTTCGTTTTAATAAAACAACTTTACTGAGCTCTTTAAACTATTTAAATTAATTTAAAATTTCCATTTGTAAAAATTGGAAGACAACTAAGTTTTAAAGCTTACACTTTAATGTCAAAATTATTGATTTTGTTTTCCTTTGCGCACAGTATTCAGGAGCCTGAGTCACTGTTTTATTTGTGGCTGTCATTAGCACATACTGACCTTTTCAATTGGCCTGTCTTCACCTGTGTGATTAAACTGCTATTTAAAGACACCCATACTTTTTCCTTTAGCTTCACAAACAGAATTGATTTTCTCACCCAACTGCAAGCTTTGACACAAATACTAGTTTACATAACAGAAGCAGAATTGGATAAAATAATTTCTTGTTTGGGATGTAGCTGAATAAATTCTTATTGTTACATAACACTAAAATGGTTGTAAAATACAGCTTTGTTGTTGTTATGATTAATAAATACACTCATGACAGGGCCGGGGATTTAGCTCAGCGGTTCGGTGCCCTGCTTTGCAAGCTCAAGGACCCGAGTTCAATTCCCGGTACTAAATAAATAAATAAATAAATAAATAATAAATGCACTCATGGATCTATTTCAGTGATGTTAAATCTCACTAGAAAGCTTTTGAAATACATTTACAGAGTTAGAAAATGAATATAATGTAAAATTGAATGTCGTACATGTTTATAAGAAATATGGCTTTCTGGAAGCTATAACATGAAAATAATTCAAAATAGTTGTAAATATATTCATTGAGTTCAATCAAGTAGATCGAGCATCTATTAAAGACATACAGTTATATATGCACGAATCAAGCCATAAAATTAAAAAATATATAAAAGAAACAGCACTTAGCTTTACTGCAAAGGGCTTGCTGCAAAAAAATACCTTATTAATACAGCATATACATTAAACAAAATTAACAAACAGATTTAACCCACAAGTCTAGGTATTATAAACAATGGTTATGAATATCTGTAGTTCCTGATTATCACTGTCAGCCTAAATATTTGACAGATAAGCAGAATTTGCCAGCTGACATTTAAGCTATTTATTGTGTGTAATTTTTGTCTTTAGTGGATGTGTTTGGAATGTTGAGATGAAGGATGTACACAAATAATTAGCAAATCAGTAAATAGTAATACTTTTATTAAATTAGAAAGTTTGCGTACAAACCATTGCACCCTGAAATATACTGGACATATGATATGAGTACTTGTAAAGTTCCGGATGATAATGCATATTAGAAAATTCAAAAGAAAATCGGTATTTACTAGGATTTGTGAATTTAAGGTGAAAAGCTGAGAAAATTAAAGTACCAAGGTTGTAACCTTATGGGAACTTTCAAAGTAAGCATTATTCTAAATCTAATTTTGATTTATTAGGTCTACATGTGTAATAAGTTTTAATATTTGTCTGTACTTGCAAGATTTTAAAAGCAAACAAAATTAATTGGTAAATTTTAATATTTTAAGTAACTATATTTGTATGAATTTCCACTAAAATTAACTGTGAGAATTATTTTATTTATAAATAAAATTATAGAGAAAAAATATAGTTGATAGGTTTAAAAATTCTAGATAATTAAATTCAGAAATCATGAGTTTCTTTTTGGCATTACACCTTAGCATTTCAAATGACAATTTAAAGACAAATTAACTCAAATTTTTCAGAGCAAAATAGTTCATATAAATATTAAAATAACTCTGATTACTGAAGTATAAATGATCCTTAAAAATATTGCAAAAATATTGGTGTACTATTCTTTCATGAGATCTATACGTAAGACCTTTAAAAATTTTTTACATTTCAATTTTATAGGAATAAACTTTAAAGATAAAGTTACATCTAGATTATGTCTAAACCTAGAAAATATTCAAAACCAATTCAAGAAATAAAAATAATAAAATTTACTAAAGGAAACTAGAATGAACAATAACTTGTTTTCCTTCATAAGACTGATTTGTAACATTTCAAATATACTAATATTATTCTAAATAAATGTCCCAAATAACTGGCATATTCGTTTCTTTTTTTTTAATTAGATTTTTTTTTTTTTTTACTGTGTAAAGAGTTACAGTTTGGTCTTGAGAGTGAGAAAGTAGGTTAGCTCGTGAAAATTTATGAAATACATTTGAATATTTTTACTATGGTTCCATAAAGAAGAGTTTGGAGCTTTGTGAAAGCGAGTATTAAAGACACACACCTAAATTTATGCAGCAGAGGGCACTCTATAAATCCTTCATTTTTATTCAAATTAAGTCGATTTCAAAGAGATTGTAAAAAGTGATTAATCCTATAGTTAAATGTATAATTAAGTGTACACTGCTGTGATTTAGTGCTACTTGATGTGATGTAGCACCATTTGAACTACAAGACAGAAAAGAAATGCTCACATTTACTCTAACAGATATTGCATACTTCATGCATATGTGCTTTAAAAGAACAAAAATCACAGATACTATTATAAAACATAGTTGTTGTTATTGTTGTTTTGGTTTTTGGGGGGATCAAACTCAGGACCTTGCTCTTTTGAGGCAGGCAGCACCACCAACTGAGATAAATCCCCAGCCCTTAAAATATAATTTTTAATCTTACAAAATAGACTTTTAAGAATAATGTAGCTAGAACATACAAAATTTGCAGACTCTCAAAAGGTAAGCTATGAACTAAAATTATTCTTAAGGAAAGATGTATTTATATTTCTTCCCAATTTTTTGATATTTTATTATCTAGTATGATATCACCATAATTAGAAGTTAAATTTTGATATCTAAACAGAAAAACTATTGAAAATGATTCTCAGAAATGAAAGATCCTGAAGCATAAATATCTGGGATTAAATACTACCCATTTTGAACTGTGGAGAATTTCATGGAAAAATAATCAGTATTTTCTAAAATAATTTATTAATGTCAGAATGTTTTGTTAAGTCAAAATAATTAACTAGTAACAATATGACAGCATGTAGATATCCATTTTATAACAGTCTATAAAATTTAGAGTTTTCCTACTTTCACTCCCAATTTTGTACTTAGAAATCCATTTATTTTTATTTTTCTTGCAGTACTAGGGATTGAACCCAGTGCCTACGTGCTAAGCTATGTCCCCAGTTCTGTCATTTATTTACTTATTTTTGAGGCACAGTTTCTTTATAACCATAAATTGCCCAAGCTAGGCTTGAAGTTGTGATCCATTTGCTTCAGCTACCAACAGTGCTGGAAATACAGGCATGAGCCACCACACGCAGGTACTGTACTTAGGGTATCTTTAAGTCATCAGAAATATATAAATGTTCAGAGCATGTGAAGCCTCAAAATACTAAGTAATATTCATACAACTGAACAGGATCCTACAAGCAAATAATAGAGTAATTTTAGTCCAGTTGATGAAGACATTTACTTGAAACAATGGTGGAAATGGTCCCCTGAGTTTCATCTGCTGGTTCTTGTACATTAGTCAAGGAAATTTTCTCACCAGATGGGAACACAGAAAAAATTACATTCACATCTTCATAAAATTCCATGAGGAAATTTTTGAACTATTAGACTTATAATACAGTAATACTATACCCTTAAGGGAACATTCCCTTTTTATATTACAAAGATTACAATTACCTCATGTTGACTGCATGCGCGTATGAATTTATAGACAAATCAGCTATAACTCATGACATCTGAGCGATCCTTTCTCAAAGAGGACAACAGTATGAAGACAAAACCAAAACAAAAGATCCCTTCCCGCTCCCCATCATCTGGCTATGGCTATGGTTTGTAAACTAAAATTTTATTGAGGACTGAAGAATTTACTTATCTAAATATTGTTCATTATTACAAGAAGTTAAAATATATTTTGCACATTTGTAGAGGGTGAAATAGCATGTGATTACTATTAAAACTGGTACCTTAAAATATAAAAGTTACAGCAAGGTAAATGCAACATATTGTTCCTATTACACTGAAAATGGGTTTGACAAAAGATCAAAACTACCAAAGATAGGGGCCAGGGATTTAGCTCAGTGGTTCGGTGGCCTGTCTTGCAAGTGCAAGGACACGAGTTCAATCCCCAGTACCAAAAACAAACAAACAAAAACTATCAAAGATAAATCCATCAAGAAATATAAATTTAGGGCTGGGATGTAGCTCAGTGGTGCAGTGCCTGTCTTGCAAGCACAAGGTCCTGAATTCCATCCCCAGTACCACAAAAAAACAAAGCAAAACAATAAAAAGTGAACATAATGGTAATTAAAAAATATATAAATATAAAGGTTCAAATTTGACTGAGACTTTTAGGTCTAGAAGAAATTGTCAATATGTGTGTAAGCATAAATTTCATTCTTTTTTCTACTATTGATTGCCTTTATTAGGAATTTGTTCCTGATGGAATATTATTTAATCTGTACACAGATGCTTATGTTATTACTGTCTATTAATAAACACGAAATTTGAAAAATAGAATTAGTAGTTCTAGAAAATATCAGAGGAATTAATAAACTGACAAAAACAGAATAGCAGGTGAAGAGCTTCTAATATTTGTGAAAGGCTTTTCGTCATACTCATCACTATTTCAGTCTAATTAAACCAGGGAAATTAAAACCACTATTATAGCACATACTTGCACAATGTATTGGAGAAAAAAAATATATATACATATGCATATATACACCAGCATATATATATATATATATATATATGTGTATAGACAGAGAGAGAGAGATACACATCTCAGTTCTCATTAACAGTCATAAATAAGGAGATGGACAAATAATTACTTTCAGATTTGAAAACCACGCTCAAAGTGCATTAAATTTTCCTCACTATACTAATATTTCCCCTTATTATAAAGGAACTAGAACAAAAACATATCAAGTAATTCATATTACAGTCTCTTTCTGAAACATTTGCGTGTGATCTTTAGAAGTATTCTGTGAACAAAACTGTGATGAGTACTTTGCAAAGATGTCTCACACAATGACTGCATCTTACATCCTCTTATCATAAAACAAATTTGACACTCTTTCTCTGACAGTGAACTCTCCTTTGAAACTGAGTTGGCCTTTGCAAGGGCCTTCAGTAATAAATGTGTCAGAAATTTGGTGCTCATCCAGCCAAATTTTAACACCTAGTGTTTGAGAGTTAGTAGGGTGTATTCCTTTGAAAAAAATTAAAATAAAAAATAAAGGATGTTCAATTTTGAGGCAAGATCAATGAAATGGTGTTTATATCCCTGAATATTCTTAGCATATTCAAGTGGAATCTAATCACTCTGCTATGAGGAAGTCAGGCAGCCACAATGACAGACCATGTTGCATAAATTCCAATAGAAGGTCTGGGTAAGAACCAAGGTCAGCCACAAAATGGGGGAATGCACTAGACTGCAGCAATCCAGCTCCCTCACTGTCAGTCATCCCCAGCCTTTGAACCATCCCAGCTGACGTCACATGTGATATGAGCTGTCCATTACAAGCCAGACTCAAGACTCATGAATAGAATACACAGCGGCTGAGACTGAACAAATCATAAGTTAGGCAAATTTGTTACAACAGATAATTAGAACATATCATATCATACCTCAAGTATTACAGATAGGACAACAGCTTACCCTCATATAACTAGAATATATCAACACTAAATGAATATCCAGGTCATTTGGTAACAAATCTATGATGTTTTTCCTTTATACCCCAATGGACAATATTCTGTGATCAGTACCTCACAAAACTGATTTCTCTATTAATATGAAACACATTTATTTATTTTTATTGAGTTACTCTAGTGCAATAATACTGCAAAATAGCTTATATGCTGAAAATTGCAACCAGATACAATAAGAATTCAAATGTGATTAATATGACTCTACCAGATGATGAGAATATGGTTATGATAAAAGTCACTTTAAAAGAATAATTTAAAAATTAGCAAGTTATAAATTGCCTTGAAAAATTGAAAGTATGAATATATGCTAAAATCACTTTTAAAACTTCACAACATAATAACTACACATAGATTAAATATATTACCAAGTGACTTTTTTTTAACTTTAAAAGATTTGAATCTCAGACTTGTTTAAAAGAGACAATACTTAGCACTTACTCTCTTTCTTTCCATAAGGTTTGCTGGAACTCAACCAAATGGATCTGCAAAGCTGAAATTTTAGTTCCTTTCTCCTCTGAAGGCAGATTTATTGCTTGTAGTCTGAGCCCAGGGTCCACAGCACAGTTTCCAGAACCAATACACTTGAATAAATCAGTAATATCTGAACTGGTCTTCATCTCCTCATTTAAATGGAAAGCATCAACAACTATACCTTCCTGGGGAAGGGGGATGTGACAATTATTATTCTTGAATAGTTAAATTTCCCAGAAGAAAAATCAGAAAAAATATTTTTCAGAGAAAATAAATGTTATAAAATCCAAATGTTTATTTCATTATCATTCCTTAACCGTAACTGTACTGTTTACCTTAAATGTACCAATAAACTTAGTAGAAGAAATAGTGTTGTTATATGACTAAGGTAAATCTCATTCTTGTTCAAACTTTACTAATAAAGTATCTAATAAAGTAATATCTCAAAAGTTATGCTATCATTTTTTGTTATTTTTTCTAATTACAGATAAAAATAGCTTTGTACAGACTTAAATAGCTATAAAAAGTTTTCAACCAAGTTTCACTAATTCTTCTTCAAAATCTCTGTCACAGGCTCTTTGAGAATTCCAAAATAAGCCAATTGATTTTTTTAAATAACATTTTTGGAGGATGGGGTATAAATAATTTTCAAGCAGGTCTTGAATATTTTAGTAAGCTTATTGTATTAAATTCTAGTTCACTAGTCAAATCTCAAATAGCATTTAATATATACATTTTAGTAAACATGGGAATACATTTAATAAACACAGACTATTACAAAATACTGCGCCCAAAATTCTGTATCATAATTTTAAGCTCATTGAATCATTCTACAGATATTTGTCTAGTTTCAAATTACCCTGACTTACAAGAGTTAAAGGAAACAAAACTGAGGTCAATCAAAATCTTGATATTTAATTTTTATTATTTTATTTTTAAATACAGTGTGGAAGTCAGATTACTTAGTATTATTTATTTGTCAATTCTTTCCAGAATTCATTTACAATTATACTGTTCTGAAATGCAACACAATAAGAGAAATTTTATTTAATCTTCATCTAAAAACTTTACTAATAACTGTTAAATACTATTTGTTCTTAATGTTGATAATATAGAGATAGGTATCATAAAATAAAATACTAAGAATTGAAGGATTTCCCAGCATATGCATGTGCAAAAAGTTCTTCACTTTCCAAGATTTAGTCTGCAGACCTATAATAACGTGGAAATATTTTTTGGATTCTAGGCATAATATGTCAGCTGCGCTTCCTCATCCCAGCAATTGTATTCAAATTTATATACTAATTCAACTGTGTTTTGAGGATATATATACCATTTCCCAGTAATATACATAAAGGTGTTAGCATCACTGATTTTTTTAAGTTAAAAAATTTGAAGATCAAATAGGGAATTTAAAAGTATTTTTCCTTTGCTTTGGAATCTAGTTTATGTACAACATAAATTTCAACCAAATAAAGAGGTGTGAGATTTAAGGCCAAATTGTAAAGCTGCAAGATATTAGCTAATGTTGAAAGATATGGAATTGTGCAGTCAAAGGTGACAGATATAAACTGACACTATGACGAGAAGCAACATGAGTTCCTAAAATCTCTTGAAGCGTGTTCCACGGGTTATTAAAAGTTCATATCAAAGTAAAGGGGCATTCGAGGAAGTTCAATGATAAAAAAGTACATCAAATGCTAGATTTAATAAAGTTTTCAAAGGTTTATTTTGTGTGAAGTTTTCAGAAACTTCAAGATTCAAATTATGTCAAGAATATCCAAATGTGGATTATATGAAGCACTTTCTATATTTCTCCCAGGTATCATTTCACAGCGAGTTAGTTGTAAGGCCAAGGTTCCCAACTTCAGGAAATATTCGAGCTACTCCAGGATTCTTTTTTATTATTGACATAATTAGGATGAATAGAGACATATTTTCAAATATTTCAGCTTCCATAAAAATGCTGTGTTATTTTGATCTATAAATATTAAGGAAGACATTCCTGAATTCTGTACTGCAAAGATGTATATGCTGAAGTCCTGACACCTAGGAGGACCTTGGATCTGAATATACAGTATTTGGGGATGGGGGGGTAATGCGGTGATAAAGTTAAAATATGGCCATTAGAATGCTTTAATGATATTGTGCATGTAAGAAGAAATTCGGAGACAGATGTATACAGAGAAAAGTTGACACAATCTAAGGAGAGGGGCTTCAGAAGAAACTAACCCTGTTGATGCTTTGCTCTTGGACTTCCGGCCCCTAGAACTGTGGAAAAAAAAATAGTTTTGCTTGCTTAAACCTACAGATTTTTATGCTTTGCTCTGACAGTCCTGGCTGATGAACTCAGCCATGGTCACATTTATCGGCTTCTCTTCCTCCCCATCACAATATACATTAAAACTGTGCATAATCTCTGGTTTCCTCCATTAATTTTTTCTTACCTTACTACTTGTGTTCTCTTCTATAGGAAATTGTCTTTTCACCAAATACTGTCCAATAGAATCATACGTTTGTAAAGCAGTTTGAAACTGGGCTCTATCACTGTTGGACGTGTCTGCAAAAGTAGGAAGCTCCAGATCATGGATGAAATTGGTTTCTGATGCCTCCTTTTGAAGTAACAGACTTTGTTTCTTTTTAAGTGCGCTCAATTCCTCCACCGTCATCTCTAATTTTATTCTGAGTTGTCTTCCTTCCTCCCTGGCACTGTTCCTTTCAGCCCGAACTTTGCTCCACTTTTCTCTCCAATTGGCAGTGCAGTCTGACCACCATCGCATGGTCTTTTCCATCTGAGCAGCTCTGGCCTTGACTTCTTCAAGTTCCCACAGTCGAAGTTCTTCCCGGACATCCCAACTGTTGGTGTTGAAGGAGTGAGCACTGAAACTGTGGCTGGCATGAGCTTGTAGCCCAGAATGTGGAAAGCAGGAATCAACAGCATCCCTGGGGGAGGAGGCAAGTGCTACCTTCTCACAGCGTGGTTTAATTGATGACTGCTGCATCTAGAAGATTTGTGATTCCTTGATTAATCGATGAATGGAATCAAATTTTAATTTATCTTTTAAGGCCTTAAAAAACAGCGAAAAAAATTACATGTTAACATTTTTCCTGCAATTAGTAGAGCAAGATTTACACTGGAAAAAACAAGGCTAAAAATGATACATCTTTTGTGTGCTGCATATTTTCTCTTCCGGCACAACTAAAAATATATAGTAACTTATGAATTTGTAATGTTCTATAAAAATATGAAATGTCACCAAATAAATATAAAACAACCCATAAAGATGAAACTGGGGCTAGCATGTGACATGATAATTCATTTAAAAACCTCATTTTATAGGTAATATTTATTTTGATATTGTCTACCACAAGTAAAACTTGTAGTATTTGCTATTCACCAACTACATAATGGTCCCCTTTTCCTAAGCAAATGAAACCTCCATTTGTTGAAGTAGAATGCAGACTCTATTCATATCTGGGTGGATCAAACCTGTTACAATCCCAGAGGCCAGGAGTTACAACCATTTACATCTTTCATGATTTTCCCCCATCCCAGTGACTGTTCAGTAGCTTGAAAGCAGGCATATGAAGGATACTGAGAGAAGGAACATTAGAAACCCTTTTTACTCTGCTTTCTTCCTACCCGCACAAAGATATTTGGAGAAGGAGCAAGTATAACAGACCTCTTGTCACATTTAAAATGATGGAACAGAAAGGGAAAAGAGCTTGGCTTAATGACCTAGCTGTTGCTTGAGGCCTACAATGTATACTTCTGGATTTCTTGCTTTGTGAGAAAGATTATCTAATATTTATCTAAACTGTGATGCTTGAGTTTTCTGTTACTAGCATTTGAAAGCACATCAAAAACTGGGCCAGGAATTTAGCTCAGTGGCACCGCACCTACCAAGGTCCTGAGTTCAATCCCTGATACTGCAAAAACAAAACAAAACAAAAAAATCACATCAAACTAATATGTACATTAATTTCCTACTGAGGTTAATATTGTGATAAGCTCTAAGAATAAAATATCATGAGTAAGATGGTATTTGTTATCAAAGATTTTACAGCTTAGTCAATGATGCAAGCACATATACATTTTTAAATGCATGATTTATACTATGTGTATTGTATTTATTTATTTATTCGAACTTGTCTGGAGTCAATGATAGATTCATAGGGAATGTTCATGGTGATCGAACTCTCTCTAGCTATGAGGATACACAGCACAGATAATGCTAAACGGAGTCAACAATTTCAAAAGTTTGTGAAGGAATGGAACTAAATTTTCCATATAAATACCAAGGAAAATTAATTTGAAAATGCATAGCATTTTATCAATATATGCACACATTAATTTAATATAATAATACATCTATATTGAAAACACAAGAAATAAAATCTTCCCTTTAGAGCAATTGTTTATTTACATCATGCAGATTCATGTTTGCTTGTTTGTTTGGTAACAGGGATCGAACTCAGCACTTTGAGCTTGTGAGGCAGGTGGCAGCACCACTGAGCTAAATCCCTGGCCGCCAGTTCATTTTTAATCAACAAAGTTTCATGATTGTTTAAGATTACTCGTATTTATTCTCAGGCATGATTTTCTGGTGTAAATAATCTTTGATATTCTATGTGCATGACATTAATTCCTCCATTTTTTCATTTACTTTATATTCATAGATCATAAATGGCCTCCTTATGACCCATCTGTTTAATCAATTATATGGCTTTCATTATACTAAGTAACTTACAAACTAAGTCTTTTTTCACTGAAAAATATACTACACAAAATTTTTTAAAGACCATATAATATTAACACTATAAAATCAAGACTTTATAATATTAAAGTTAATATTCAATTTTAATTATCTCCTCATTTGAAAAGTGATTGTAATGTGCCATGCCTGTTGTTTATTATTATAATACTTATGATAATAATATAGATTCATTGCTGTAATTATTTTGTTAACATTAGTATATGTCCAAACATATTTAAATTAGCATTGACTTGGAGTACTGTGATTGTTCCCTTCATTTACTATAATTCAGAGAGTAATAATAATATGACTGAATAAATTTCTTGGATCATGAGAAACCACAATCAATACAGAAAAAAGTAGGTTTTATTAGAAACACACACAGAAATACATATATAATATGTTTTTCAATTAGAATTCCACACTGAAGAAAATTTAATTTAACATATTAAATTTATCATTGCCATTTTTCAAAGTAAATCAGTATCATAAAATTCTAATATCTTTCAAATGTCCCTTTAACTTTTATATCACTAGTATTTTGAGGACTCTATAATTGGATTCTGGTACATTGAGATGTTGCCTACCAATTAACTATGTATTTTATTCACATATGACTGAATAAAAATAAGTTGGACTTAAGAATTCAAATCATGAACTTGAGTAGTATCTTCTGTTCTAAAAAAATTTTCTCCCACAAAAATAACTTGTTTGATCTAATGACATTGATATGCATAGGTATTCATTAAATTATTCCTTTTCCCTGTGTATATGTGTACACCCTTCATAGATTATTTTGGAGGGCACTGAAACTATTTTCAAGTATTTATAAGATACCACAGGGCCTTTAAGTAAGTGAAGATATTTTGTTTTGTTTTTTTGTTTTTTGGGTTTTTTTTTTGGTATTGGGGATTGAACTTGGGTCCTTGCGCTTGCAAGGCAGGCCACCGAACCACTGAGCTAAATCCCTGGCCCAAGTGAAGATATTTTGTTTTGTTTTTTTGTTTTTTGGGTTTTTTTTTGGTATTGGGGATTGAACTTGGGTCCCTGCGCTTGCAAGGCAGGCAGAGGAACTGCTGGGCTAAATCCCTGGCCCAAGTGAAGATATTTTGTTTTGTTTTTTTGTTTTTTGGGTTTTTTTTTGGTATTGGGGATTGAACTTGGGTCCTTGCGCTTGCAAGGCAGGCCACCGAACCACTGAGCTAAATCCCTGGCCCAAGTGAAGATATTTTAATATTGTTGATATTTTAATATTTTGATTTGGTTCTTGTACTGATTTCTATATTATAAAAATGCTCGTGAACAGATTACCATAATTACTGTAAATAATATTTAATGTAGCACATTAGCAAATAAAATATATTGGCTCTGTAACTAACATACAATATTACTACCAAGGGAGGGCAGGGACAAGGGGAAAAAATGAGAACCAAGACTTGTCATGTAAAGGTACAAGTTCCCAATGACGAACATAACTGTACTGCATGCCTAAAATCTACCAATAAATTCAATGAGAAAAAAATAAAATAAAATAAAAGTATCTTAATGTTTAAGATGATGGACTCCAGATTTTATTGGTTTTAGTCCTGAATTTGCCATGTTTCAGACAAGTGATCTTGGACAAATTACATCGAGTATCTTTGAATCAATGTTCTTATTTGTAAAGGAGGAAGAAATAATATATACTAAATAACACTAAGTTCCTATTAAATGGGAAAATTTCTGCAGACTGGCAGAGTGTCTTCTGTAGATTCATTAATACTTTTGTTTATTTGGTGCAATATCTCTCAAGCTGTATCTTCTTTGAGCTAGCCAGATAATTACTGATCTCCTTTGTTTTCTCCCCTAATATCATTTCAAGAGATGTGTGGTTTTTAGATTCCTCCCTTATGATACCCCATCGATCAGAATCGGGGACTTAGGCAGTTTTGAGAGGCATTATTTTGACTTGTCTTCTTATGTTTCTACTTTTTTGTTTGCTTATTCATGTGTTGAAACTAGCGGGTTGACTATAGTAGAAGGCTTTGTTTCTAGTATGGAGATCATTTAATTAATGTCTCAATTAATGTCTCAATGTCTCCTTTTCAGCAGGGTCCTCTTGGTGTGGCTAACTATTGGCCGTTGCCTCTGTCCTAGGATCCAGTCACCTCCATTTACTTGGGATGAGAGCCAGAAACCAGTTCTTCGGGAATGAACCACAATAATATTAACGACCAGAGGGCAATCCAGGTATTAGGATCCTAATAAAATCAATCAACAGCAACATCTATGTAACTTTGACTATAGTAATGAAATCAGCATCAATTATAGTATCAAATACAAAGTGAGTATGATAAACCCTAAAGTCCAATAATGTATCATTCTTAAACATAGAAAAGAGATCTATAATTATACTATGAATACCAAGACAAAGAAAATACTGGCACGCTATTGACCTAGAGTAAATATCTACTAAGTAAAGCAACTTAATCTTCAATAACACTAGAGCAGTATTCAACAGCAATAGTGTAAAGATGATTCATAAAGTTCAGTAGTTATAGTAGTAAAGGTAGAGGTTGTGGCTTTGTGAATGAAAAAGTAAAATTTTAAAAGTTAATCTATGTGATATGAGAAGGAAAAGAGAAAAGTGGAATAAAATAAATCTATCTTCTTAGAGAATAGTTGCAAGAATGTACAAATAAGAAAAAAAAGATAGAGTAAAACAGGAAATAAACAATAGATAAGAAGGAAGAGGAAACAAATTTGAAAAGAGAAAAGAAAATAGGCCAAATAGAGAAGAAAGGGAGGAACACTAGCCCCAATTCAAGAAAAACCCATGAACAAAAGATAAAAATCACGAAAACAAAAATAAATAAATAAATAAAAAGACTGAGGTGAAGAAAAATTCCTGTGGTTTTTGAATAAGTGTTTTCTTTTTTTCCAAGGAGCAAAGTGTTGGGATCCAACCAATCACAATTTTTTCTGCCTAGCTTTAGGCCTATGGGTTTTTGAGGTGCCCTTTCTGTACCCTCTGTCTGTTCTACTCTGACTGATTATTATCCAAGCCAAAACATGTCCTTGCTGATGATGGTAGATGGGAAATGTAATCAGTTTTCTGGTATCTGCTAGGTGTAACCTATGGAGTGGAGGTTCGAGTGGTCTGGTAGACTTAATGTCAATAGTCATGAGGTCTGTTTGCTCCCTTCTTTCCCGAGGGAATGCTTGTCATCCAGAATCAGGAGAGATACTCAGTCTTCACATTTTCTGCACCATGCCAAGGGGAAGCAAAATGCAGAGCTACCTCAGAGTTACTGGATAGTCTTGTCCTGTGG